TAAAAGACTTGAACCTCCAGGTGGAATATCTTGCTTTGCATTTTGAAGATGCAAGTCAACAAGATGACACAAATCTTCGAAGGTAAGTGTTGCAATGTTATGCTTTACAAGAAAGTAAACATTCATCATTTTGTTCATTACTTATAATTGATCAGTTTCAAAATGATGTAACATGCTGGTTGTAATACTGATTTGAGCTTTGCTACGTGCTTGTATGATATGTTGATGGTCATTTCGCTCCATATGCCGTTGAAGATATTGTTCTTTAAAGTATTGAGTACCATCGACGAAAATATTGTGACATTTTGCTTCAACATACCATGTACAAATCATATATTTGTCATTTTATCATGTTACTAGATCAACTCATGGATAAGTTTTTTTCCACATAGAATTCCATTTTAGATTGTCTTTGACAAGGCGTGGATATTTGAGTTTTTTGGATGAATTAATAAAGTTTTTATTAACAGAATCTTCAACTGTATTATCGGATTCTGTAATAGCTGAACCAATAACTTCATCTATATTAATAGATGATTTTTTTATTTTGGCTGCTTGAGCAGTAAGTGTAAAGGGAGTGATTGTGCTTTTTTTTTGAACGTGTTTGCCTTTAGAATTTGATATAGTGAACAAACAAAAAAAAACTATAAAAAAGGAAAAAATCAGCTATATATTATTAAAATTTTGATATATATGTGTAATAAATAAATCGGATTAGAGAACATATATAAAAAAATAATGTGCACATAGTATTAAATGTGCACACAATAATAATATTACTGTATATGCGAGAATACTATTAATACTAAATATGTGCACGAGAACTGTTTTATAGTGAACCATTCAAATCTTTACACAGTACACAAATTTTTTTTAGTGTTCTCATGAGAACTCGGAGAACACAAATTTCCAACACTGAATATATTAATGATCAGGATATATTATAAACATTTTAATAAAAAAAAAGATTTTATCTTATCTTTTAGCCAAGTTATGGGGGGTAGGTTATTTTTAACGAGCACTGTATACTAGAACTGATCTTGAAGATATCACTCTTCATTAGTATTTGAATAAAGTATGTGCTACTAGAGAATAATCTGTCTTTAAAAACTGGGAAATATTCCTTACTGAAGTCTGTAAAGCATTTCAATTACCTAACTATCAACAACATCTTCATTGTTAACTGTGTTAACTTTATCAAACTAGTACTGTACAGGAGTATAGTGTTAAATTTAGAAATATTGTAAGATAAATTGAAGAAATAGGAGAACTAGATCAAGTTATACATTTTATTGATGGACTT